TTTTCAGGAATTTCCCGCTAGTAATATTTTTGTCCAAAAAATCCCATTCTACCACTTTTATGCCATCTTTCTCTACTACTGGAGCACAGCACCTCTGGCTGCTTCTGTGTTTTTAATTTCTCTTCTGCTCTCTTGCTCATCATAATTCCATTCTGTAAGTCATATTTTCACGCAGTGGTAATTTGATTTTGGGAAAGAAGCAAATATCTTTCAAAACTGTCAAAAGTCCATGTAAATCAGGTTAGTACTTAACAAAGAAACAATAAAAGCTGGGAGGATACCAGATGTACAATTCTATGGACAACCTAACTTGCCACTGGTGTTCAAATTCTAAAATCCTGCACTCATTCCCTGCTTCACTAGAGCAGGGCACCATCACTGATTGGAAGAGAGAATGGTGCACTCTCTGAGTCCACCCTCATATCTCTTCACATGGAAATCTTGTCCTCCAGCTTTTCCTATCTCTGAAACAAGAACAGAAAATTTTCTCACATTACTCTGTTCAAGATAATTCTATGCTTCCTGAAACCAAAATATACCAGGACAACATGTTGTACATAGCGTTCAATAATTGATAAAGTGGAGCAGAATAATCCCTGAAGATAGAGGTGTACATCCAAACTTTTGGGCTCCCTAGGCCACGTTGGAAGAAGAAAAATTGCCTTGGCTCACAAATAAAATACACTAACACTAACAATAGCTGATAAGCTAAAAAAAAAAAAAAAAAAGAAAAAGAAAAAGAAAAGAAAACCTCAACAAAATCTCATAATGTTTTTAGAAAGTTTACAAATTTGTGTTGGACTGTATTCAAAGCTGCCCTGGGCCACATGTGGCCCACTTGTTGAACAGGCTTGCTTTGAGAGGAAAAACAAACAAACAAACAAAAAACTTTCAATAATTTTTAAGAAGCATAGATCTATTAACAAATCTATTAATAAATTATATTGTTACACATCCTAGACAATGTCTTTATTATTAGATTTCTAAACAATTTTAAGAATGTTCTTATTTTGGTTATTTTTACATTTACCTACAACTTAAAAGTGACACACTTGGAAATGAAAATTTAGTGAAATAATTTCAAAGTCTAATAGAAGTGGCAATGTGATGAAATGCTCTACATTAAATAAAATATTTTTTTTATATTTGCAAATCTATCTTAATATCTATAGGTTGTTGAAACTATATTTTATTGAGTAATATTCTTATATATTTTGAAACATCCTATATATTTAATCTGCAGCAAAGTTTATAAAGAAAATCATAGCAATAACATATTTTATAAGAATAAAAAATCACAATTTTGAAATTTAAAATATGTTCAACATAATTATAAGAAAACAGATTTGAATAGCAACAAGATTATTTTTATTCTGGGGAATAATTTTGTATTATATAAATGGTTATAAGATTTATGAAATAAAGTATCAGTTTATTCAATATATCAATATGAGATTCAAAATTTGTGGACTATATCTCAAACATCAAGCTTAATAATGAAAGATATTTCAACTGTATATTACAATGTACTTTTGAAATTCTAAAAGAATATTGGCTGGTAAAGGTACCTGAGTAAAAATCTATTACATGCCATTTTTATAGTAATAGATTACGGGTGAGTAGTTCATTTGACAACAGCCCCAGTCATCAATATTCTGAATACGATGTAGCAAACAAAATTGAAATGTTAGAACAAACAGTCCAATAATGTATTATTCTTTTATTTTTATTTAAAATTCAGCTTAATCAAAAAATAAAACAGCTGTCTTACATTTTCTGATAATTTGTAAAAGTATTGCAAATATTTATTTTCAAAAATGTTACACATGGTTATACTTAGTGATTATAGTCATTAGGTTCTATTAGTTGGATTATATGCCAAACATTGTGTCTAAAGTTTAATTCTTTACTTGAGTATTTTATTCTTAAATATTTTAGTAGGGCTTAAAAATGTTTGCTGTTTAAATACCTGGTTTTATATTGTGTTTCTTGCCATGACCTTATATAGTTTATCAGATAAATCTTTCTATCTGATGCCTGAACCATGAGAGGTGAGTATAATATTAATGAGCTGTTTATCTAACCTGTTATTCGATATCCTCTATTTAAATCACCATTTAAGAAATATAATTTAAAACATAAATTTAAAATAAATTTCCCTAAGTACTAATATGTCTTATTTTCCAGTAAACTACATAGCTTCCTAAGCATAGTATTGAGAATAATAGTGAGTTAAAATTATCATTTTTTGTATCTAATTCATAACTACATAATTTTGTGGTATTTAATCAAATTATTCAACCTGATCAAGACACAATGTCTTCATCTAGAATTAATAATAGTATACATATGGTGAAGATTTGGTAAGTTTTAAATTTAAAACAGTATGTGATAGAACTCTCTAAATTTCAAATACGAATTCAAATGTTAGTAATTATCATATTTGTAATAAATTAAATGATTATGGTTTGCACCAGGCATCAATGAATTGAAGTCCAGTCAGGCTGCTTGTTTCAATCAATAAAATTTAATTGGAACATTGTCATGCCAAATTGTTTACATATTGTCTCTGATTGCTTTCTTGCTACAAAGGCAGAACTGAGTAGTTACAGCAGAGACCATGCAGCTTGCAAAACTGAAAATATTTACTCTCTGTCTGATTATGAATTAGTTTATTAACCTCTGATTTGTGCTATTAATTATGTAAATGTTTTAGTTTTTGTCATCAAGACTGCTGGACTTATAAATGCCATTAAAACAATAGTGTCTTATGAAATATTAAACCTTCATAAATTCTTATGTCCTATTTTTAAAACCTTCAATTATTACATTGATCTATAAGTGTGATTGTTTTATTACTTACAACATGTGACTCAGATATCACTGTTAATTAGCATGTATTTTATCACAAGTTCACAGATTTTTTTAAGGTTTGTTTTGTGTGTGTATTTGTGAGATTAATATAAAAAGATCATTGGTGCTTCTTTCTATTCTTATAGGCATGGATGAATGTAACCAAGTTAATAGCATATACATATATAAATATAAATGTATAAACATATATTTATACCTATATATCAAATGTCACATATCACATATCATTCGCAGATAGACAGATAGTTATATATGAATATTTTCATGTTTCTGCTGGGAAGTTTTAGTTAAGACTTTAATTTCTGAATTAATTAATTAATTAATTAATTAATGTATGTGCTTACCTTCTTATTTTTGTTTCCAGGGCTGAGGATGGTAGTCCTATCTTCACCTATTTTCTCTTCTTGTCTTCAGTAATACAACTGTCTTCAGGCACTCACACTGCTTCCTATGTATTAAGGCAGCATAGATATCCTATAAGGGAACTGAACATGATGGGGAAGCTGGTTGTTCACCTTCATCTAACTTTTTACAGTGTAGAAACAATGAGTTGGTGGAAAATTTTCTGCACCCTTGGTGCTGGGCAGAATGAGCGTGCGAGCGTTATGGATGTGGAAGTCCAATTCACTTACCACCTGCTCAGAGATTTTCACTTCTCTGTGACCCCACAAACTATACTTTCTTCATTTTGAGCCCTGAGTTATTTCTGGTGATAAACTCAATGTTGTTTATTTGGTTTTGGTTTTCTTTGTGGAGAGAGAAGACAGTTTTCTTCTATGCTGCCATTTTGGAACCCTGAATTTATTTTATTAATGTTCTTCCATTTGAGTTGAGTTGTGAAAATGTTTGGAATCTCTTACTATTTTATATGCAAAGTACATCTATGTACTTTTCTATAATCAGTTTTGCTATAATCAGTTTGTGCTCTAGCACAAAATATAAGTTCTTATGCAAGACTGTGCACTGAGAAAACTAGGGGGCTTATGGAATAATGTTGAAAACTTAGAAAAACACATTTTTAAAATGCGGAATCCTAATTAAGTGTCCCAGAGTTTTACATATGATCATTTTTTAATAAATCCATAATATATAGAAAATACTTGAAGTTTACCTGTGGAAGGATTACAGGTTGTGAGTTATTCTGAAGTGATGGATGGATGATAATCTGAAATTTGATGGAGTGGTATGCTGTAAGACCATGTGACACAATGGCAGTGGTAGATGTTTAAGAGGTATGGTGTGTGTATTTGTGTCTATGTGTGTCTGTGAATTGATTTGGTTGTGAGCAATTTTCCACATTCATTTAATTTCCCACACATGAAATAATGCATAAGCAAATGTGAAATGTGCATTATTCTAAAATTGTTCATTAGTATATCAATTGCCTCAGAATAAATTTGTATTTATAAGCAAATATTACAGCAGAGCTTAATACACATGGAGACCATTTCTCAATCTTTTCTTCTTTGTTTATGCTAGTAAACTGTGAGACATCATACAGACATGAACATCTTTCTTCTTTACTTAAGCCTACAGTCTGGAAAAATTCCAAGGCATGATGTCCCAGATTGCCTTATCCAAAGTCTTTACTTCCATACTATCCAGCAACTAAATAGTCTCCTAAGCAGAATAAATCCCTTTGCCCAAAATGAAAAATAATGAGAATTTAAAAAGCCATAATAGCAAGTCTTTGAGAGGACCCAGTCTGTAAGATCACAATTTTCATAGCTAAATAAAATAAATCTGTTATATTCCAGTTTCATTGATTTTTCTCTATGATCACATATTATTTATTATTTCTCTATATCTATAAATATTTATTTGGTAGAATAGTAATTACAAAGTTAAGTGGTGTATTAAAATTATATATTGTATTTGCTACAAAAATAAACATTAATTTACAAAATTATATTGACATAAAAATATACTGTATCAGCATTCTTACAAAACTCATAAAGTTTGTTTTAAAAAAAATCTTGTCCACACTGTGCCCTCTGTTACACAATTTGGTGAAAATAAATTTCTGGAATGTTTAGAAAAATTTCTCATATCCCCAATGTTAGCCTCACATTTGTTCTTCCCAAATCAAATTTAGAGAATGAAATGATGAATAAAGAATCAAAGTTGTGCTCACTTTGGCAGCACATATAATAATATTGGAATGATACAGAGAAGACTAGCACGGCTCCTGTACAAGGATGACACATAAATTCATGAAGCATTCCATATTTTTACACCAATAGACAAGCAGAGAGCTAAATTATGAATGAAATCCCATTCACAATTGCTAAAAAGAGAATAATATACCTAGGAATACAGCTAACAAGGAAAGTAATGGGCCTGTTTAAAGAGAATACAAATCACTGCTCAAGGAAATAAGAGAGGACATAAACAAATGGAAAAACATTTCATGCTCATGGATAGGAAGAATCAATATAGTGAAAATGGCCATACTGTCCAATGTAATAATAGATACAATGCTATTCCCATTAAACTACCATTGACATTCTTCACAGAATTAGAAAAATCTAATTTAATATTCATATGAAACCAAAAAAGAGTCTGTGCAGCCAAGAACATCCTAAGCAAAAAGAACAAAGCTGGAGACACCATGCTACCCAACTTCAAACTATGCTAAAAAGCTATGGTAACCAAAGCAACATGGTACTGGTACAAAAACAGACACATAGATCAATGGAACATAATAGAGATCTCAGAAATGAGAACAAGCACCTACAACCATCTGATCTTCAACAAACCTGACAAAAACAAGCAATGGAAAAAGGATCCCTGATTTAATAAATGGTATTGGGAAAACTGGTTAGCTGTATGCAGAAAATTGAAACTGGACCCCCTTCCTTACACCTTATGCAAACATTAGTTCAAGATGGATTAAAGACTTAAATGTAAAACCCAAAACTGTAAAAACCATATAAGAAAATTGAGGCAATGCCATTCAGGACATAAGTACAAGCAAAGATTTCATGAAGAAAACACCAAAAACAATTGCAACAAAAGCAAAAATTGATATATGGGATCTAATTAAGCTTAAGAGGTTCAGCACAGCAAAAGAAATTATCATCAGAGTGAGCAGACAACCTACAGAATGGAAGAAAATTTTTGCAATCTATGCATCTAACCAAGGTCTATTATCTAGAATCTACAAGGAACTTAAACAAATTTAAAAGAAAAAAAAATCCCATTAAGAAGTGGGCAAAATACATGAACAGGCACTTTACAAATGAAGACATTTATGTGGCCAAAAACCATATGAAAAAGAAAAAACTTAACCTCACTGATCATTAGAGAAATGCAAATCAAAACCACAATGAAATACCATCTCATGCCAGTCGGAATAGCAATTACTAAAAAGTCAAGAAACAACAGATGCTGGCAAGTCTGTGAAGAAATAGGAACACTTTTACACTGTCGATGGGAATGTAAATTAGTTCAACCGTTGTGTAAGAAAACAGTGTGGTGATTTCTCAAAGACCTAGAACCAGAAATACCATTTGACCCAGCAATCGCATTACTGGGTATATACCCAAAGAAATATAAATTATTTTACTATAAAGAAGCATACATGTATATGGTCATTGTGGCACAATTCACAATAGCAAAGACACAGAATCAACCCAAATGTCCATCAATGAGAGACTGAATAAAGAAAATGTGGTTTATATACACCATGGAATGCTATGCAGCATAAAAAACAATGGCATCATGTCTTTTGCAGGCATGTGAATGGAGCTGGAAGCCATTATCCTCAGCAAACTAACATAGAAACAGAAAACCAAGCACAACATTTTTCTCACTTATAAGTGGGAGCTGAACAATGAGAACACATGGACACAGGAAGGGGAACAACATACACTGGGTCCTGTCGGTGGTGAGGGCAGGCAGGGGGAGGGAGAGCATCAGGATAAATAGCTAATGCCCTTGCAGAACTTAGTACCTCAGAGACGGCTTGACAGGTGCAGCAATTCACCATAGCACACGTTTACCTTTGTAACAAACTTGCACATCCTGCATATGTATCCCAGAATGTAAAATAAAAAGAAATATTTAAAAAGATCAAAGTTATTGATTTTAATAAAAATGTGTCTACTAGCTTAAATCAGTTCTCACTTGGAGTTATTATAAATAAAAATAAATATTTGGGAGACAAACTAATCCAAGTTCCACTTGACTTAGAGCCTTTCCTTCGAAGGTTATCTTTTGCATTAAAAACAACATTAATGAATTTTCTTTGTAGACTAAAAGGCTTGAAGAATCAGTGGGTACTTATTAGACATGGAGCCTTTTCCAAGACAACTGTCCAAGTTATCTAGGTTTCATGTTCTGCATCACATTTACCTCCTCATAGTGATTAACAGATCAATATATAACCATATATAACATATATTATCATATATACAATATATATAACCGTATATATTACCATGGTATATATATGCATATATAACATATATAGTATATATTTTATATATGTATGTATATATAGTATGCACCATATATAGTATACATACCATATATAGTATATAGTACATACCATACATATAGTATATATACATATTATTATATACCATATATACACCATATATATGGTAAACTATAAAACATAACTAGTTTACGTGAACAAGTAGATCAATAGGAAGTACAAAAATAAAAATAATTTACTCAAGCATATCTGTTTATGACAAACATGGCATTACATAGAAAAGAAGATATTTGCAATGTTGCTGAGTCATCTGAGTTTCCATTAGTGTGAAAAAAGAAAACAAATTATATATATATAATATACCATATATCATATGATACATAATAATATATAATATGTGTCAATATATTATATATAACTATATATCTCTCTCTAGGTGTGTATATGTATATATACATATATAGTACATACCATATATAGTATATATAGATATTGATGTATATATACATATATGGTATATATAGATATAGATGTATATATACATATATAGTACATATAAAATATATATAGTATATACCACATATATAGATATATATATGGTAATCACTATGAGGAGGTAAATGTATATATGAGAGACTTTGCAGACACCTTAAATTTGAACTGCAATTTTGTGAATTTTTCTAAAGAAATACATAATGCTGTATATCTTTTTTATTTCTACTATCCAACCAAATAGTTACTGCAATCTTTTAATGTGTATGAGTCAAAGTCTACTTATAAATATCACTATATAATTAAACAGATTTTATTTAAAGACATAGGAACAAAGAATATTCAATGACATGACATGTAAAGAAATGGTCAACTAAAGAAAGTGCCGGTTGGGCACGGTGGCTCATGCCTATAATCCCAGCACTTTGGGAGGCCGAGGCGGGTGAATCACGAGGTCAGGAGATCGAGACCATTCTGGCTAAAATGGTGAAACCTGTTTCTACTAAAAATACAAAAAATTGGCCAAGCGTGGTGGCGGGCTTCTGTAGTCCTAGCTACTGGTGAGGCTGAGGCAGGAGAATGGTGTGAACCCAGGAGGCGGAGCTTGCAGTGAGCCGAGATAGCGCCACTGCACTCCAGCCTGGGCGACAGAGAGACTCCATCTCAAAAACAAACAAACAAACAAACAAAAAAGTGCCATTTGATTATTTTTGTAATCAAATGGAAAAAGGTAATAAAGTGGCTTTTTCTTTAGTGTATTCTTCACTCTAATTAAAAAATATCCATAGCATTTTCTCCCAACATATTTAAATCATAAGACTTTTTAAAATATGTTCTACATACCAATTACACATTAAGATTAAAAATTTCAATACTTCCATAAGAAATGTTTTTATTATAAGTAATATCAAATATGTAAATTGCTGGAAAATATAGCTAAACTACAAAGCTGCAAAACAGCTTATCTCTTAATATAGAGTTATAACTAGACATTCAATTATACATACACTAAAATATTTTATGATCATTTAGTAAATGAGAAAGTAATTATTTTAATTGTACTCTGAGATGTCTTTGCAAATTATAATATCTGCATTACATACTAACATTAATATTCGTTCCAAATCATTTGGCAAATTACAAATTCAAAGAGTTTTACTTGTCTAACCATATACCTGATTGGAAGATTATTCTATGCATATTTACTTTCTATAAACAATCTAGAAAATATTACTCACGACTTATAGGGATATAGCCACTGTCTGCCAATAAAATGTTAACTCAGAAACAAGGATTTGCAGTTTAGGAGTGCTAAAGAACATAAAAATTTATATGTATTCATTTGCTGAATAATACCAAGCGGTAAACAATTTGCCGTAACTTCAAACTCAACACAATTAGTTACTCACTGTGTTAAATTCTGAACATTGTATGAGTAGAAAACATTTGAAAATTACCACTAGGAAATTTGGAACATCAACTGACTTTTAGTTTCCATAGATTTCTATTAATAGTAGTAAGTTATGAAATCTGGCATATTTTAATCAGTTAGAGTTTTATGGGTTGATACCCAGATGAAATTAATAGTAAGGACTCTTGAATATTAAAAGTGGTTTATCACTAATACTTGAAGAACAGAGAAATTCATAGATAATTTGTTGCTTGGGGAGTAATCATATAATTTTAGTCCACACAGGAATACTTTTGAGAGGGAAAGGGATTATTATTAATTCTTGTGATGGAAAATAGGCATAGTCTGTATAGTCCTGGATCAAATAGAATATAATGTCTTACTTTCTACTTGCCATTTGAGGAGTGCTCAGCAAGAAGCCTCATAAACCACTATTCTCCGTATCGTCAAGAATTACCTTATGTAGTCATCCATAACAATTACAGTTTGATCTCATCTTTAAACATTTTTTCCTGAGCCACTTTCAGGATGAAATGAGATTAATGTTACTGTTAAGATAGCATTTAGACAAAATGATGCTTATTATTGATTATTGCCATTTAGTTGTGAGTCATTAAAGTATTTTTTTTCCAAGTGTTAAGACTTCTTCAGTTAATTTGCTCTCTGTTTCTGGTTTCTATCTAATTCTCTCTTCTAGTAGTGTTTTCTGCAATAATTATTGTGGCCATTTTACTAGAAACATAAATGCATTTTATCTAATACAAGACTGATGGGAAAAACAAATTCTTCTGTGGATTGCCCTTTTTGTTATGCTCTTTGTCTAATTAATTATAATAAATTCTATTTTGGAGAGATAACAAATTAGCAGCTCTCCTGAACAAATCACTTC